GACGTCTTCTGAGAACCAATGTCAACGACACACGCTGTGGGGAGGCCCACGCCGTAAGTTGCGCATGCACTGGCCTGCTGTACAACCACTCGGGCAAACTTGAGATTAGTGAGCAACATGCCGACCATTTGGCGCACCTCGCGACGCACAAAGATGTCTTCAATCACAAGTATCACGGAGAAGAGCTGGAAAGTCTTCGGAGGAATACCAAGCTACGCAGAATAGGTGACAAGAAAAGAAATAAGGAAAAAGTCAATCTTCGGCGGAGTACAAACACAAGACACGCAATTCTAGTGATGCATTCAAGGTTCTGACAGGCGCTGTGTGTTCACTGTGAATTTAAAGCCGATCACAATTTATGTAGTCTGTGCTACACAGGACTCAATCTCCAATTACAGACCAGTCAGTAATCACGAGAGGATCTGGAATTTCTCATCGAAAAGACTTTGCCAAGAGAGCCAGGTTAGGAGGGAATCTTTGCGTCTTGAACCTCATTCTAAAGGAAGACCCAGGCATTCCGTCGCGGACAACCTTCTGAGTCATGATTTTTGACAGTTTAAAATCACAACTGGTTATAGACATCGAGGAAATTGAGAACTAGACAGGCCGTACTCTCTCGCCCCTACCATATGTCCGATTTACATTGTCCGGGGATGAGTCTATACACGGCTTCCGTGTAATGCATGCCATATGCATACCCACTACGTGAGTAGATTTGGCTGCCACTCATATCTCACGCAACACTGAGCAAACGGTTTGTGGGACAGAAAGACCTACACAAGAGGCAGAATGTACATAAAGAGGGTTCTGAAAGTAAACGTGTAAGAAGCACTTTCTCCTAACTCAAGGAGCACCTAATATCCACTGGGAGCCCCTGCGCCCAATCTCAGCATCAGTTGGGCGGCCAGTTCGGAAAACCGACTGGTGCATGGAGGACGGAAGAGAGAGTGGAGCCGACCGTGGGGACACCATGACCACGGCACTTCAGCGCATTACTCACAATAATGAGCCTGACGCGCTAAACGTAGTGGCTTTGGAGGTTGCCGGTTGACGGTAAAACTCAGACCTAAAAGACAGTCCCGTGTGTTTGTGTGGAGTCGCTTACTGGTGAACTGAGAGTCAAGCTCAATGGCTCTTTCTTCACGTGGCCTCTACACCTCTCATGCATGTAAAATAGGGGCCGCCCACTCTCTGAAGTCTTTGTGTGCTGTGCTGGGCCAGGTCACTTGTAACACGCGCAAACGGGCTACTAAGCTCTCTTTACTTGTGTCCAGTCTCTGTGTCGGATAACTGACCGGCTCGGACAAAAGACTGGTGCAGGGAGACGGAAGAGCAAGTTAGGTCGACTCTGGGGACTGCATCCCCACGGCACTCAGTGAATGTTCTTCAGTAGGAACAATCTGACACGTTTTGAAACTAGTACAACGCATTAAAGGCCGTGGCTTGGAAGGCTGCCAATTGACAGGATAACTCGGTCTTCCTCGCAGGATGGGGGCCAGGCCTCTGGCACTCCCACTCCGTTGGAATCCGAGCCGCAACCTCACTCGCTTCTGAGAAAACCTGGCCCATTGTGCGCTGGCCAGGCGTGTGCAGCACGCGTAGACGGGTCGTTTTATCTTGTCAGCCACTGCGTCCGATTCTGCCTCCGTCTTGACACCGGACCCAGATGAGAAGAGTGAGTGCGGTAGGTGGAGCGCAAGTCTGCATTCACATGAACGGATTCGGGTGCAAATTACTGTCTCTGAGCCCACCACGGTGGACATCGTCGGCATGGTCCCAAAAACCGGATCACGCGGTAGATGCGCTAGACCAACGCGAGGGCTCCATCGGATTCTGGCAGGCGTTCTCGGGAATGCGCACCCACAAAAAGCGTCAACATTCGGAGTGCGATGGCTGGCCCGGTTGAAAGCCCACGCCGCGCCAGTTGGGATTCTGCTGCCCTCCATTTTTTTATTGAAAATTCTGGTCAAGTGTTCGTTGTGGACTAGGGGTGTGGTGGTACGCCTAAGTACGGGTTTACACCGTGCCAGCTACCTGCGGCCTCTTGCCCATGGTCTTCATGACTTGGTCATGACACCGGATCCAAGAAGGGGAGGAGGAGGGGAGAGTGTGGTAGGTGCTGTACAAGTCCATTATCACTATAACCTAGTTCACGCGCAATCGATTATCCCTGCTCTCACTGTATTGTTAAGCACACAGTGAACATATTCGAAATCGATGGTCGAACTGTCGGACATTGTCGACAACGATGGTCGAAATGACGTAGATTCACTTAGAAACTGAGATGCCTCAGCACCCAATATCGACGGGCGCAGCAAAATTCTATATAAGCTTAGGAAACAATAAACAGTCCTGCAGCGTCTTAAAAGATGGTGTTGGGGGGACTGGAATAAACTAATTGAGATAAGTCGTTCGATGAAAAAGAAAAGATGGGATCTTAGATATCCCATGAACGAAATTCTTATCAGAACTGAGGAACACGCGTTATGCGAAGAAAGATAGTTAACACTCAATGAGGTTCCCAAAAATCGGATTCAAGGTAGTACAGTATAGTAAACCAGCATTACTACATCTTGAACAATAGCTGCCAATGCGCAGGGGTCATCCTGTCCAATGACATAAAGTGGGCGCTTTAGACAATAGAAAATCTATACCAAAAAAAACAAAGTAGATACGCTCCTGACGCCGCTGTTAGACTGGGCAGCAGCAATATCTCTCGACTTTTCCAGTAGCACTGCCGATCGACGAGAAGTGCCACCGACAACGGACATTAAATAGCCACTTCTGGTTTATTGACCGTCATCAGCCAGTCACACCCCACACACACACGAGGCTTGAAGCCGTCTGGACAGCTAGACTCGCTCTTTTTTGACTGCGATCAGAAGTACGCAGTCACATCAAATCGACGTTCGCCCATCTATCCTGAGTGCAAGGGGAAGTAGGCACTTCCGTCTTCGGTTGGTGCTGTGGGTCCGGAGCACCTTAGATTGCACGGCATAAAGCTGTGTCAGGAACAGCAGTGTACACGGGTTCCATGCAAATTCCGGAATTTTTCCGGTAATCATCCGATCAGACGAATATGATAAATCGAGTTGGGAGAAAATGTCATTACAATCATCATGGCTCTTGTAGCATCTCATGTACATAGACAACCCTTCTGTCTTTACGCTAAGACGGGAATCATGCGGTAGCGGTTTACGGGCCGGACGGAACACCCTAAGGGCGGCCAATCACGGGCGCCCACAAGTTCTGTACTTGCTAAACCAACTCACCAAACTGACAGTGACTGCCTTTTACAGGACGCTTAGTCAGTCACGCCCATATCGCCTCAGCGGGGAGATCGGCGCGCGGGCCCGAAGTCGGGCACGTGTCGAGAGCTCCGGCAACCACAAGGTTTCTCTGCAGAATACACGTCTTCTACTGGTGTTTTTCCTCTTATCCAAAGAAAACGCTGATTGGAGAGGCTGTATGTTAGGCTGACCAGTGGATACCCCGAAGTTCCCGACACTCTGCGGCAAATTCGCCAACCGCTACACTTTGTTGCTGTTTAGTATCGTTGTTGGAATGTCACTTCATATGAAATCAATTGTGCACCGGAAACCCTATCGAAGCTCTCTGTTGCCCTGTCGTGAATTTGCAGATTGGCGGAACGCCTATCTGAGTTCTTTACGAGCAACTACAGCGGGTCTAGAGGATGCAGCTGTCCAGCTTATTAAACCATCCTCCCGAGAACTGAATGCTCATATTGACAGAGGGGTCACCAGATGGCTTGATTTGTGGTCGGCATTACTTAAGATGTATCTTTTCATGTGCATGCTGACTAGGACCAAGAAACGACGTCCGAAGGAGACTATTCTGATTTCGTGCAACAAACTTTTCCACCGCTTTAGAAGAAGGTATGATCTGAGGGAAAGAAGTTATAGTAAAGCACACCACGTTTCACAGAAATCGAACCACATTCAGAAGTGGTTCTTGGAACATGCGTTTCCGCTTCCATCATTCCCATAAAATCTGGCGCTACAAATTTGATACCCTGAAGTCAAGTGCCATGCCGGCAAAATACACAGAACCCTAGGAGATAATCGCGATCAGATGGTCACCAGAACACCCATTTAAGATGCGTCTAACGTTCCAAAGTCAGTGTATGCGCCAGTTAGTTTGTTTCACAGTGCCTGCATGTTTGCCCTTGAAGCTCTGCGTGAGTCGTCCACTCCGGCTCCGAGTGGTTGGCGCGCCCCTAGACTGCGTCCTCAGTCGCGGGACTGCAGCCCAGGGGGAGAATGTGCGTAATCTGCGAGAAGTCGGTGGGATTGGTTGCCTGACCGATAAAAACACGAACCTTGCAGGGCGAAATAATTGCCAGACCAGTCAATGGATGGAGAGGGACATCCGCATTTGTTGCCCAAGCATCAAGGTATTCGAGAATAGCATTTCCAATATTATTAAACTATAAGACCTACTGATAAGCAAAATAAACAGAACCAAGTCGTGATAATTGAAATTCAGATGTGGGAAAGGGCCTAAGGTCTCCTTACTACTACTAAGTAAAGGAAAGTGAGCTGTTTGTCGATTCGCCATAACCGCCTGAAGTTGGCATATTTAGTGGTTCACAGACGCTATGAGGAGTGATTAATTTTTCACTAAACGGTCAAGTTCTTAGGTCGTCAGCTGGACAACCCCTTAATGTCGCAGCAAATTACCGTAACCGACACGGAATAGCAATGTAGGCGCTAGATTGCGGCGGAAAACAGCATAACAGGGAAGTACGGCAATGCCAATAGATGGGTTGTGGTTAAGAACGTGTGACACGCACAAAGTTTTCCAAAGCGTACGACCACATATCCTCCAGATCCTGGACGACACTGGTTGGCGACTGGGTGGGATTGAATCGACCGGCCTGGATCGGCCAGTTAACAATAAAATCCTCGTTTTCAAACTGTTCGAGACCATGGAGAAACGGAAAAAATGTCCGATTATCGTCCGGTTTCTTATTAACGGCAGGATCTTCCGGTATGTGGGCAAACTTGAAGCCTTCTCTTGGCAGGGCACGCGCTTGCAGTTTCTCTGCTTCTGCAAACAAATCTTCGGGTATGCTCTCTAACGGGGTCGAATTCACAGCGACTTTTCGTCCCGGAAAACCTGAAGAGTGGGTGCATGTTGCCGTCGATTTTCGTCGTCGAGCGATACAGCTGAGCAAAACTGTCGGTCTGCTGTCCGATGCCAGGCCAATCCGAAGAATTGTTGAGCCAGGCTGAATGACCACTGTTTTTGACGAGACTTGCAGAGGTTTTGTCATAGCGGTTTCATATGAGATGTCTCTAGGGATTAAATAGGATTCAAAAGGACTGAGGTAAGCCAACCGAGTAGGTGGGTTAGTGTGCAGAGCAAGACATTTAACTGGAAATTTTGCCATGGTGGGACCAACCAACCTGACGCGTCTTTTGTCGTGATTACTGAAAGAAATGTCCGCTTGTTAAGCGAGTTCCAACTACCTCTGACGTCTACAGTCCCAGTCCCTGGATTTTTGCATGTTGAAACTCCAGAAACTAGTTCGTCATACGTAAAACCTCAAAAAGTGATGTAGGAACCGCATACGACTGGCAGATCCGCAGAACTCCCCATTAACGCAGCGACATGGTGTGACGTTACTGCCCCGTACATTGTTTCGGTTCCCCGCAGTTGTTTTATCGCCGATGGTCACCCAACAATCTGCATCACTCGTTATGCCACGACTTCGAATGCCACTCCATTCGCTACTCAGTTACCAAAGTTGGCGTCTTACGGGGAGTTCTAATGGCGTCCGAAGCCACTTCCGATTCCTTTGCTTTACTTAAGACCTGAGCTATGCAATGATGTTGTGATCTGGAACCCTCAGCTTCTGGTGTTCGAGTCCTACAGACAGAGCCTCGGCTTAAAGAAATATAATTACTAGGTCTCACTGTGGTGCTCGTGGTGTGGGGAGCTTTTCTTGACCCTAGAGATCATCCCGTGCGGAGACGAGTTGTCCTCTGTAATAGCATTCAAATCCGCAAGGCATAGCAATGGAATAACACTGGGTATTCTTCAGTATGCTGTGGAGTCAACAATCTCCAGCCGATTAGGGCGTCGGATTGGCGATTACTTCCCGTTTTTTGAGGACTATCGGACCCAGTTATGGTAGATGGACGCTCACAGATCGCGTTACCGAATTTGTTTGCCCCGACGGGTAATAAGCAAGACAAGGCTATTCCGGTCTCCCTCGTCTTTGTCAGTAATGCTATTCTGCCCATATTACGCCCCCTGTGTGCCAGCTGGCGGGGTTCGAATGAGAGCCCCAATGCACAACGGGACGAGTAAATTTCGTAGCGCGACCGATGAGCGTCCCTCTACCATTGCATGTACCCTGTCGAAATCGACAGGGAAACGAGCCCATGGCCCAGTGGTTAGGGCGTGGCCCTTCTAACAAACAGGTCGCGGGATCGAGCCCAAGGTACCCTACACTTAGGACTCGGGCATGGCTGAGTGACGACGGCTAATAAGCCGGAAATGGCCATTCCGCTCTCCCCTGTCTTTGTCGGCAATGCTATTCTGTTCCCTGTTATATTCTTCAAGTCGCCCGCATTTCTTCCGGTCAGTCAATCAATCGTTCTATTAACTCAATTATGCTGTGAGTCTATTCTGGTGTTGTGTAAAGACGCCTGATGAGATCTGATCACAAAGTTTCTCAGACTTTAAGGAGGACACCCCTACACAACTTCGCTTGATGTCCAAAATAAGGAAATGTACGACAAGTCAGACTTCACGACGTAGACTAAACTCTGTGTACTATCAGCTGTTACGCCACTCCCAACGGTAGCAGTGGCAACGAACATAGAGAACAGGAAAGTACGGCAATGCAATATTTGAAGAGACAGAGGTCTTATTCATTGCAACAAAGTGCTGTCAGTCAACGCTTTACCAGGATGATCAAAAAGAGACAGCAGAATGTAGCAAGCAGGTCGCCCGTGCAATCCACTACTTCATTGCATTGGCGGGTCTGTTCTTCCCTCCCATCCGCGGATGTCCTTCTCCGGATCAAACTCCCATTCACAATGGCAAACAGATCAGACAGCCTCAAAACTAGTCCAAAAGAGGGGAAAGTTTAACTTGTGCCGAAAAGTTTATTAGAAGAAAGTAAAGCATAGAATTACAACGTGATACAGTGTTGAAGGTAGATACCGGAGCCCATGATGAGGCGAAAGCGACACTAAAAATGCAAAATAGCCCAGCGTTAAAATCACGGAAACAGCTAATTGAGTCAATGGCAATTTAGTAAAACTCACTTATAAGTTTAACTGCTACTTGGTCGTTGTACTGCTTCCTCGAAAGATGCACCACTGTCCTCAGTGCCACTGATATCAGTAGAGGATGCTGAAATCAGTTGCCTCGCGGGCACTCCGCTTCGGGCTTGGCTCTAGATGAGACAATAGCGATAGAACGTTGGATCGACTGTTTCCCACCAACACATGCCTGCGAAGCCACTAGAAGCATCTGCTCACCTGGTCTTCAAACGGTCGTCGTACGGCCACTCAGACCGACCACATTCTAGTTAGTTCAAGGTTCCACATCTGGCCTCAAGATAGCAGACAGATGAGTGGTGCCTAAAATAGCAACACCCATGGGTCAGAACCGTGTTGTCGTCCGCACACGCCTAAAAGTTCATTTCTCATCGGCACCCAAAATGCCACGAGCAAGATGCCTTGGTGACGCCGAGCTTCGACAACCCAGCACTGCTGAGGCCCTGAGCACAGAGATTTTGTTACACTTTACGGTCCGGGCCGACAGTCAATGGTAATAATTGAACTCATTAGTCCATAGGGCAGTTGAAAATTCTCGGATTCGTCTTGCGACGTCGCAACGAATGGATTTGTGGAAGAGCTCT